TTCAGAAACAATCTATAATACCCGATAGAAGATATAATACCCCGGAGATGAGCCTTCCCTCGATAAAGGGCGTTTGGACAGGAAAATAATCATCGGTTAATAAAGTAGCTGGAAATCTAGTAGAATAAATCTTTGGCCTTTAAGGGGATGAACCGTTCTGCTGTTTTTGAAAGACTCATAAAAAGAAGCAAGTAATAGGTGGCACTTTCTTTAGAGTAATTCCTTCAGGAAGTATGCTATCCCACTGGATGAAAAAAGGACTAATGCTCGACGGAAAAGTCGGCTACTGATTTTTCATTCAGAACTGTCCTTCAATATACTATTAAGGCTTGAGAGAGTGTGTGAGACCGACGTTTGCTGAACCTAAGGAAGAAGTGGGCACATTGTTAAGGACTATGGTTTCTTTAAGTCATTCTTACATTTCCGCCGGTAACTTAACTGCTATTACTGCTCTGATTTCAATGCTAATGATCTATACAATTGTAAAAGGATGCTTATTAAGCCCATCTGTGGCTCTGTCATCAAAGCATCACACTTTCTGAAACAGCTCAAGTAAAAACTGCTGTTCTCTGTCAAAATTCTGTTTGTTTATACACAACTGAACCGTGCTAAGCCATTCCTTCTACGTGTTCGCTTAGAAGATTCTATGGGTATAAGTTGAGCCACCAAAGGGCGAGAAACCCTTTCCATTCGAAGATCGAAACTATCACACTTGGTAGGAGCTCTGACATTGAATTCATGGAAGTCTTGTAGTGAAGAAGGAGATTTTGCTGGATCCTGAATTTCTTCTGAAATTCTCTTTACTGATCAATAAATAATCTTCTTAGGATCAGCCATCTGAATTTAACCTAAACTATCCGACATGGAGTTTTCGAAAATAAAGTTTAAGTATTTTTTACAATTTTTTAAAACGTTCTAACTTTCATTAGAAAGCACCACAAATTACTTTTATGTGCACTTGGGCCTTGAAGCCCAGATAAATGCTTTTGCTGAACCATTCCTCTTGTACTGTTATGCAAATAACGGTTAATTTGCAATATTCAAACTAATGCTTCTTCTTGTTGCTGTAAAAAATGGAAGCACTGCAGTCACTTGCAGTGGCACACACATAAACACATAAACCCACGCAAACATGCCTTCAGTGCACTCGGTATCTAAACGAAATGGAATTTTCAAAATCCTAAAAATAAAAAAAAATTTAAATAAAGCGTTTATAGAATAATAATATTTCATGTATACTTTGGCTCCCATACAATGTATGTAATTTAATGTTTGTTGTTGCTCGGTTGCGTAAGAGTAAACCATGCGCGTGCCATTTTAAACACATAAATAACACAATGCAATAAATTACATTTACATGTGTATGTGAGGCTCTTATGTTTGCTGCAACGCCATACATACATACATTCAATGCAAACAAGTTTATTTTTAACAAAAACAAAAATGAAAATGAAATGCTACATAAATACGTTGCATTCCAAGCGGAAATATTTCACAACTCTCTTTGGTGCTTTGGTGTGCCAAAGGGGCCTTGGCCAAGCACTCTAAAGAAGTGCATATATTTTGTATGCTTTTGTTTATCATTAATATTCATACATATATATTTTTTACACTCTACGCTACTTATTTTAAATGTGCCCAATGAGAGATGCTCCAAGCGTCCAGCACAGTGGTGTATCTCTGAAGAATTAATGCTTTGGGCGCTGAGGGAATTTTCTCCGAATGCAAAGCAATTAAAATAATAAGCAGGTTTAGATTTGACTGATGAAAGATGTGGAAAGGTGTGCTTTAAATTAGTTAAAATTTATTTTAATTAATTTATTTTTTATTTCATTACATTCTATTTGATTTTGTTTCTTTTATATTTAATTTAAATTTATTTAACATTTTAGTTATTTTTATTTACTTCATTTCATTTAATTTTTTTAATGCTAATTTATTTATATCAACTCAATGCATTAAAATAATTAATTTTTTTCTTTTACTTTTGTCTACATTCCTTTCGTTAAAATTAGTTTAGCTCAAGTTATAATATTTTATGTTGCTTAATTTTATTTAATTTTTTTAAATTTGTTTTGTTTATTTGATTTTATTTCCTTTGTTGTATTTTATTTAAGTTTACTTTTTTATTTTGTTTTTTTCTCTTGTTTTATTTTATTTTATTTTCTTATATTTTATTTTATTTTCTTATATTTTATTTTATTTTATTTTATTTTATTTTATTTTATTTTATTTTATTTTATTTTATTTTATTTTATTTTATTTTGTTTTCTTTTATTTCATTTTATTTAATTTTCTTATTTACTTTATTTTATTTTATTTTATTTCATTTCATTCTATTTACTTCTTCTATTTTAGTTTAGCTTATTATTAATTATTTTATATTGTATTTTGTTGTATTTTCTGTACAGATGAAAATAATATTGAACTCAAATATTAAAATAATGTAAACTACAGCAGCAACCAGAAAATATGCTTTCCCATTATTACGCGAGCTAATAAAATTTATTTAGCTATTTATGTAAATATACTAAGCAAATTATGCTAATATTAGTGCAGAAAACTTAATAGAAAATTGGTTTAATTTTGCTATGCGTTATTTATTAACCATTTTAGTCTACACACAATATTTGCTATCCATAAATACACACCCATACATGCAAATTAACAAATATAGCTGCTTATTTATACAATTTATTGAATTTAGCGTTATACTTTGTATGTAAATGTATTTGTTGCTTCGCACTAAATAATATTATTACGCTGAAAAAACAATTGATGCCAATCAATTAAATTTTGACCAAAACAAATCAATTACGGCAGGGAATCTCATTAACACAGCACAGCGTGTGTTTGGTGTGGTGGGAAATTGTTATAAATTTATATTTTAATTGAGCAGTTTTCATTAAATATTTGATTTCAAGTAAAAACAGTTGAAATATAAATTTGTTTGAAAATTACTTATTTTATCATTTAAAAAAAAATCTCTGATGACGGGCATTTTTTTGTACAATTTTTGTTGAAATAGTGCGTATACTGGTTGTAATAAGTTAACATAAATATATAAGACATACAGAACAGAATATATAATTTTCTATGGAAAAAAGTTTTTACATCTCTTCATGCTATGCTTTGAAGTGGATAGAATAAGTTGAACACTTACAAAAATTTCGACAAACTTGTTGAGAAACGAGTAAAGAGTCTAAAGAAAATATTATTGTGAAGAGTTCAAAAGAATAATATTCACAATAATGTCAATCGTCACCAAAAGGGACTGAAAATGACTATTTTCCTCAAATTCTGTATTTTTCGAAAAAAAATTTGGTAAAATATATTTCATTCTTAAGCGCAACGATACCATGAAAGCTTGCAAAGAAAAATTTGAATGATTAATGGTGCAAGGACATTTAAGTACACAAAATCCAAAAGAATTAGGCTCATGTTTTTTTTCTCAATTTTTAAGGTTATTAGAGTTGTATAAAAGCGCCAAAAATGGTATTTTTTTTTGACAGCATGGCAGCTCTCCTTTCTCAGATATATACGATAATTGAAAAGAGTAGCCGAGTAGTTAGCATTGCGTACTGCCATTTGGCAGACCCGGGCTCATATGTCGGTGCGACCAATATCAAAAAAGTTATAGAAAATTAATTTAGAAAAAAATTAAGCTAAATTTTCTAATTGCGATCGCCTTTGGGTGGACAATATCAACCGCTTCGAATGTATTTATGACATAAAAAAAAACCATCAGCCGTTCGAAAGCGACTTAGTATAAAATGAAGGTCCCTCCATTTATTATAAAAAAAACATCCAGACATACCACAAAGTGGAGAAGGCGCTCGGCCGAAAATCGCTTTAGCGGTTGCGCAGCGTCGGTTAGGTATATAAATAAAAATAATTTTTTTTTTTTTCAGAAATTTTCAATAACTTTTGGGCATTTATTTTGATAACCAATCATCAAAAATAATAGAAAAAAAATTTAATTTAATTGAAATGCTAAATAAAGCACCAAATTATTTGCCAATTTTAACACCCAAATGCGCAAACAAATCGAACATATGCGGCCAATAAAAATATTTAAGCTATAATAAAAAAACAAAAATTTAAAATTAATTATAAAAATTAAAAAAATTAAAAAAAAAAATCAAAAAATAAATTTCAAAATATCAAACAAAAATAAAATTTTGCACATTGTGCGGTACAGTAGAATTAAGATTTATGAGTGCGAAATATTTAAAAAACACAAAGTCCGGCATGAAATTATAACGTAATTTGTGCACAGGAGTATATGTGTATGTATGTTTGTGTGTATATCAACATAATTGCGCTGACTTGCAGGTATTTCAAATATTTTCATAATAACGCACAAAGTGAAAGATAATTCCCTGAAACGCAAAATCAAAATAAACTTTTTCGCGCAAAAAAAAATTTAAAAAAATAAAAAATAGTGCAAAAATAAAAAGTAAATAAATAAAATAAAATAGTGAAAAAAATTAAAAAAATATTAAAGAGAAAAAAACAAGTGAATAAACTCCGCAAAGGTGCTGCCGCCTGCGTGCCTTAGGCCAGTGGCTTTTACCGACGACTTGTGCGTGTTTGCTGTTGCTCACTCTTCTTCTTCTTTTCAGTGAGCGAGTGATATTGCCAAAATGCCATTGAAATATTAATAATAATTTTGAAATATTTTCACATTTTATTTGTGCGATTTATTTTTTATTTTCGCAAAACAACGCCACATTCGTCCTCCAAACGGCAACTACGAGTCACCCCGCAACAGGTGGCTCTCGTTCAAAGTTTGTGACAGATGTTTACCAGCAGAAATTGACAAAATATATATGTACGTGTATATACAAGAACGGAGAGTAGCAGAGCAACTAGTAATTAATACCGTACAAAACAAATTGAAGGTAAATCACTCGATTCGTGTGTGAGTTCCACGACAAGCGGCCACGTGCCCAAGCACATATAGCTTTAACGACCCCCCCCCCCCCCCCTAAGCTAATTGTGCACCGAACTGGCGGTCATTAGCGAACAGGCGGCGATGATGAAGCACGACACCGGCAGTACGCCCATACCGATTGGTGAGCCCAACGCCACGGCGTCAGCTGCTATTACAGCCGGCAGCACATCGTCGTTAAAGCGCGGCTTGTGGCGACATCGCAGCGTGATAGAGACGCCTGTTTGCGCACGGAGTCCCATAACCAAAGCGTTTGACTTTCTGCCCTGGGGACGGAATAAAAAGTGTGTCGAGAAAACACAAACACTGCAGGAGCACCAAAAACAACAACAACAACAACAACAACAACAACAACAGCAACAACAGAAACAGCAACAAGCACAAAAATTTTCGTCGACCTCAAACACAAAGTCCACAAATGTCGCAGCTGGCAGCTGCTCGAATTCGAATGTCAACACAAATGCGCCAGCCGACAAGGACGTGGGCATACATTACCACCGGAATATCTTCCGTAGCGGTGGCGGACTCATACGTGACATACTCGGTGGCGATAAGTTGCACAAAGATAAAACCAGCAACAGCAATCAGCAGGAGTTGACATTAAAAAAGTCGTCCAATCAACGTACGAAACCCAAGCAGGTCGTGGCGCGCAATAAGAGTTTAGATATCCATGAGCTCATCAACACAGTCGAGCATGAGCTGAAGGCGGAGAAGTCGAAAAACGGCCGCAGCCAATTCATGGACGACACTTTCATTGAGAATATCATGCGTGCCAAGGAAGCATATCGACGCGAGCACAATGAGCTGCCAGACCAAGACCCTGTTGATGACGATGGCAACTATCGCTACGTGGATGAAACGGTCGACGGTGAGTGCAACGATGTGCGTCAAACGCACGAAATGCAGCGTGCGAGCGATGAACAGTTACATTGTACGCCCTCTGGCAGTGCTGCCGCTAACACACCCGCACGTCATATACTCTTCAACGACGAAGATATCGTGTACCTGATCAAGAAGGAGCTGCCAGTGAAGCGTGAAATGAGCAAGACCAAGCGTAAGGTGTCCGCCAATCACGGCGCTATGAGTGAGAAGGAACGTCAGCAGCAGCAGCGCGAACATGAGCGTGACCGTGAACGAGCACGCGAGCGCAGTCGAGACCGTCACGAGCGTAGTGAAAGTGTACTGCGTGCACGTTTGAAGTTCAAGAAGCTGACACCGGATGCCACGCCACTGCCGGATCGACGTTCCGCATCAGCGCAAATGCTCAACCACAATCAGTATCACAATCAAAGCGAGTATGGCATTAGCAATGAGTATGGCCAACCACAGGGACGTAATTACCAAGCGTCGAGATCGGTCAACGATGGCTATGGCGACGCCAACAACAACAGCGGTAGCAGCAAACGCAGCATACTGCAACGACAAAATACCTCACCCGCGCTGATTAGTCTTGCCGCCGAGAGCGGAACCGCGAATGGCAACGGAAATGTAGGTGTTGGTGTAGTGAGTAATTACGAGCACGAAATGTCCCATCATCACACACCAGAAAATCGACGCCGCCACCATCAACTCTTTCAACGTGGAGAGCAGCGTGTACAGTTGCAGCGTCGCAAATCCTTCACGGACTACGACAATGCCCAGCTAGGCAATTGCAGTTCGAGTAGTAGTATGGCAAGTGGCGGTGGCAGCGCTGGCACACCCACCAACGAACTGCCGCCACGCGGTGAGAAACCACGTAAGAAACTCTCCTTCCGCGAACCGGTAGCGGATAGACCCCGTGTACGACGTCGCAGTTCACCGCAACAGCAGTCACCCAGTGACAATGCTATTAATGACACAGCCTATGGCTTGGGGGTGGCCTCCTCGACTCCCACAACAAAAGAGTCGAACAATCGTCTTGGCGTTGAGGATGGCATACTAATTGGCAACGCGAATGCGCATAAAGTGAGCTGTGATAATTTAAGTGCCGGCAGCGCCAGCCACAACGCCGCTTTACTATCATTACCTGATAACCGCAGTTATACCGGACAAATTAATAACCTGCCCTTAGATGTGTCCGGCTGCTGTTATGTGGATAATGCGAATTTAGCTATGGACTTTGAGGTGAGATAATTTTAAAAGGGAGGTGTGTTTCATGTGGTCTAAAGGGTGGGAGGGCATGCTCAGATATTTTTTATTGCAGTGAAGCATCCATAAAGCTGGAAGCCAATTGAAAACATTTTCTTTAGTAAAAAAATTCCATTAACCTCTGAATGACCACCAGAAAGTGTACTTGTTTGAACATATTTGTATTTCTATTATTTCTATAATTTTTTGATTTTCATTGGTATTTTTTCGCTTAATAAAATTAAGTTTAATTTTTTTATTAAAAATTTACCCTCCACCATCTTCTACTTGCAGTCACAAGCGATGCGTATAGTACGTACCGTCGGCCAGGCCTTTGAAGTATGTCACAAATTCAATCTTCATAAGAATTCCTTGGATCACAACGACGAACGCTCGGATGTCTCATCAGAGTTGCTCGATGCAGAACGCATTTCAGTGCAGCAGTTAACCGACGATGAGGTGGATAAAAAAGGTGAGTGAATGCAATCGAAAAGGATTGATAAAAATACGAGCGAGTAAAAAGAAATATTATGTACAACAAAAAAGACTTAACTTAAGAATGTAAGAACAACGCAAGATAGTATTGATATAGAAAGCCAAAAACGCTTAAAAGAAACATATAACAGAAGCTGTCATTCAATGAAGTGACTAAAACTATTATTTACGGTGATTTGGGATAAATGGTCTTAATTTATTTCCAGGAGCTCAAGCAAAACTGCTTTTTTTATATAAACTTAAAACTCCGGCTGTCAAATGTTGTGCCTGAGGTGATTTTATAGCAAGCAGTGGCCTTTGTCACCTTTTTGATGAAAGCATCGTGTGTATTTGCCTTTCTAAAAGCATTCCCACATCATATGAATCGTTTCTGGATCACCCAGAAAACATCCCAGCAAGGAAGGTTACCAGTAATCTGCTATAATGCTAGCAACTGATATTCTTTTCGTAGCGTTGTCGTGCGTATATTTGATCTAAATTAATACCTTCTATGGGGTGCCTGTGTGTGATGGTCTGAGTTTAAAAAAATTTTGAATGTTAACCGCCTAAATGAAATTCGAAGTTCAACACCGATCGTTGCTATATAATAAAAAATGCTGAAATGAAGAATGGATTGGGTATTGAGATTTATATGAATAGTGCGAGATTCGATTGCATAGTTCGTGGAGATGTTTTCTGAAAAAAACACACCTTCCGAACTCTTCTTCCGGCTCCCCGATCCTTAAATTGGAATTACTGGCTTCAAAGAAAAAAAAAATAAACCGCATTAAATTGAATTGAATTACTCTAAATAAAAACAAATTTAATTAGCCTAAATAAAATAAAGGGTGATTTTTGAACTATCATCTTTTTGGCAACACTGTTATAAATAGCTGACGCACGTGTTCTGTATCATAGTAAAACATTTTCGGTTTGGTCTATAATTTAACCACGAAACATCTTACAAACGAACAAATTATTGAATTTCATTATCGAAATGCGTGCTCTGTTAAGAACATTCAACATGCGCTTCTTCCGTGCGCGTTTCGAAGCTTTTTTCTTGGTCTAATGGGAGCGGTAATAAGCAGAATTATCGATTTTGGAGTGAAGATCAGCCAGAAACATTGCAAGAGCTAACAATGCATCGAGAAAAAGTCACAGTTTGGTGCGATTTATTGGCGGGTGGCATCATCTTTGAAGAGATGATGCGAATCGTAATGTAACTGTGAATGGTGAGCGCTACCGTGAGATAATATCAAACTTTTATTTTGCCCAAAATGCTAGAACCTGATTTGCTTGACAAAAGGTTTCAACAAAACTGTGCCACATGCCACACAGCACGCCTAACAATAGACTTATTGAGAAACGAGTTTGGCGGGCATTTTACTTCAAGATCGGCACCAATCAATTGACCGCCTAGATCGTGCAATTTAACGCCTTTAGGGGGGCTAAGTTAAATCTTATATCTACACAGAAAAGCCCGCTTAAATTGACGCATTGGAGGACAACATTGTAGCATTTATTCGTAAGATACCATACGAAATGTTGGAGAGAGTACCAGCGTAGTCACGGCCAATATTTGTATGAAATGATCTTCAAATATTAAATTACATTTACGGATCGCACTATCGATTCAAATAAAGATTTCATGCATTTTTCTAATTTTTTTTTTTTTTTTTGTAAGAGGCGCTTAAAAATCACCCTTTAAAATAAAAATAAAAAATTTAGATTATATTAAATAATAAAAAATAAATTAACGCATTTCAAGTTTAATTAAATCAAATGAAATTCGATTAAAATTAGCTTGAATTAAATTAGTTTAAATAAAATGAATTAAAATAAAAATAAAAATAATAAAATAAAAACAAATAATAAAAAAAATCATTGCATTAAAGTTAAGTAAAATAAATTACCTTAAATCTAACTAAATAGAATTAGATGAAACAGAAAAATTAATATAATTTAATTCAATAAATTCAAATAAAAGGAAATTAAAACAGTAAAATAAAACAAATACAAAAATAAAGTAAATTACGTTAACTGGAATTAAATGAATTACACTTAAACGAAAATAAATTAAAATAAATTAAATAAGTTTAAATGAATTAAATTTAAGTTAGTTAAGCTAAATTAAATTAAATTAAATTAAGTTAAATTAAATTTAATCAAAAGAACTTGAAATAATATAAAATAAACTAAATAAATTTAATTGAAGCTAATTTAAATTAAACTAAATTAAACCGAATTGAATTGACATTAATCAAAAATATATCGAAATAAAATTTGATAGAAATGATGGCTTCAAGAAATAAAGACGAAGCAGGTATTGTATACAGATCCAAGTTGTCAGCAAGAAGAAAGAATAGTTTATTGAAGATTCTTTTATATACAACGGTTTGGTATAAAAGATAGATAACTCAACTTATATTTTAGTACATATTATGGTGTTGCCATATACTTCAACACTCCTTCTCAACACCTAATATGTTTTACCTTTAAACTATATACATATTCAAATTTTAATTCAAGACAAGTTTTGTATGTACATCAATTTAAAATAATAGCTTAAGAATATAATAAATAACTCGTTAAAATATTCCAAGCTGCTTCACAAACTTATTGTGCTTAATTTTACTTAAATTCTTAGTTAGTATATCTGACATCATGTCGTCAGTTGACATATATTTGACATCAACTTCTCGGTTTTCAAATTGTTGGCGAATGTAGTGGTACTTCAGGTCGATGTGCTTACTGCGAGCATGGTATGTTGCATTCTTAACCAAACATTGAGCGCTTTGATTATCGTTGTAGAGAAGTATCGGCCCATGGTGAGGAAAGCCCAGTTCCTCCAACAGCTTCTTGACTTATGATGCCTCTTTCGCCGCCACTGAGAGTGCTATGTACTCAGATTCTGTGCTACTGAGTGCTACCACACTTTGTTTCTTGGACTCTCATGAAAACACACAGTTTGCCGCTACGAAAACGAATCCAGAGAACGATTTTCTGTCGGTAGCATCTCCTCCCCAGTCGGCATCCACATAGCATTCGACTGGTTTATACGATTTAGTGTAATGAAGCTTATAGTCCATTGTGCCTTTCAGGTATCGCATTATGTGCTTTACCGCCGATTCGTGTTCCACGTGAGGATCATTGTTACGTTGAGACAGTTTAACGACGNATAGTTTATTGAAGATTCTTTTATATACAACGGTTTGGTATAAAAGATAGATAACTCAACTTATATTTTAGTACATATTATGGTGTTGCCATATACTTCAACAAAATTAAATAAAATTTATTTAAGCGACATACATTTAATTAAATTAAAGTAATTTAATTGAGTAAAATAAAATGAAAAAATATAAAAAAATATATATCGAAATAAAACAAGTTGAAATAAGATAAATAAAAATAAACAAAATAGCACCAAGTAAAATAAAATAAGAAAAAAAAATAAAATTAATTAAATAAAAATTAAATAAAGTAGTTTTGGACATCAGTTTGAATACAAAATAAAAAACTATTAAGACAATTAGACTTTGCCTTAAAAATGAGAGCAAATTCAACTCAGTGGCTGCTACGAGAAAATGTGAATCTTTTTTAGTTTTCTCTCTTTAGATATGACCATTAGGATCATTATTATCATAATTTAATTCCAGGAACTAAATTGCTTTCTCCACCTCTCTTAGATACACATATTACCCATATCTACTAAATTAAATTTAATTAAAAGAGCTGACTTAAGGCCGGATTTAAGGGTGGATTCCTCCAAAAAACGTGGCGGAGTTTTTATTTTTTTTTACCCAATTCTCAATTTAATTGCTTATAAATTTTTTAAATGGCAACGAATATTCATGGTTTGTAGTACCAACTACAGCGAGATATTTTAGAAGTAAAATGCCATTAAGTAATGTTGATAAGTTGAATTGGTTGCTAAATAAACGGGTTTTCGAGAAAAGGGCTATTAAAGTACTCGAGCGGCCGGCTGTACCGCTTGACGCGCTCCGCCCTCTGTTCTTCTACACTTACTTCTTGGTCGTGCGGACCGTCGCGACTAATTCTTTATCATTTCAAATAGTATTTTCTAGCAATTTACAGGAAAAGAAGTTTCGAAATTTCTAGGGGAACCTGGCTGAAATATGAAGATTATATAAATTATTTCCATTATAGTCAAGGAGTTTCAGCAAACAACTTCCTTAATATTTTTCTCGTGCAGTAAACTTGATTATTTTTTATTATAATGAAGGCTTCCCATAGAAAAATTTTAAATACTAAAATCTCCAAAAAAAATCAAAAGGCAAAAAGTTTCTCACATTTAAAAGTGCAAATTTCCAGCAGAAGTGAATCTGAGCATATCAAGCAGATGACATTCGGATGTGCAAGTAGTGTGACATGACCTGAAAAACTGCTTATCATAAGCAGTTGCGGCGCCCACAGCATGCGATTGTGTGTGTGTGACAAAAGCAGCAAGCTGAAAATTAATTTTGACTCGGCATTGAGCAGAATTTTTTCGTTTATCTCTTGTTTTTTTTTTTTTTCTTGACACCCTAAATGCTGTCCAATATACAACGCATTAACTATTTGGCCAAACAGCCATTACAGGCACAGCTGGTGATTACAAAAAAAAGAACTAACGTGGCTGTCTTTGACGTCATTGGTGAACGAAAAAATATTGTAATTACTGAAAATTTTTTTTTATTTAAATATTTTTTTTTTTGCATTTTTATTTCAAGCGAAGTTAGCTTTTGTATGGCAACTGCAAGGAAAAATTAAATATTGTACGAACATTAAGTTTCAGAGATATTTATATATAGAAGAAGAAAAAATTGTCACAACTAATGCCACTTTGGCATAATGCCGATGCTGCAAAAAAAAAAATCTTAATCATGGCATCATTACACAGCCCCGTAGTAGCGAAAGCTTACATTTGATTCCATCAGCGACACTTAATGCCTCCTGAGCTCACGCTGCTCAATATATATTTACATATCTACTTAT